GGGCCCGCGGCGATTGGGCGGCGAGGCGGTCGGGCACCAGCGGGACCCGCCCCGCCCCGATGGCCCCGGCCCAAGGCTCAATTGGGGTGGTTCCTCCGCGCGCCCTGATGCTCGGGCGGCACAGGTGGAACCCAGAGAAGGCCCAATTGGCAGAGCAGAGACCCGGGTGCCGCCCCACCCTCAGTGTTATGGTGGGGAAACTGAGGCCTGGACCTGGACCTTTGGAACCTGTCTAGACCTGTTCTGATTGGGATACAGTCATCCCTGACTCGGATAATGCGCTACCCTCAGAAGGGACTTACCTGTGTCCAGACCTGACCCCTCCAATCTGTCCCCCACACGGCATTATCTGCATAAGAAGCAAACCTGGGCGCTTGTCTCCCCTAGTTCAGATTCTAAAGAGTCCCTACGTGATCTGGTCCCTGCCTCCCAACTCATTGCCACCACCATTCCCCAAATATCCCTCTAGCTCTTTCACCTCAGGCATTTTGGACTTACAGATGTGCTGTTCCCTCTCCCCTGTTCATACCCTCCATGCCTCACCTCCTTCTTCAAGACTCAGATAAAGATTATTTCCTAAGGAAGGCCTTTCCTAGGGGGCCACTCCAGCATTTCTGTGTAGAAGTGGCTCAGGGCTACAATCTTGCCAGGAGGAAGCTAGAAGCCGCTGCTGCCTACCACCAGTGCCCTGCTGAGCCATGTTGGAGCCTTAGGCAAAGGCTAAGGCTTTTCATATGTATGTATGGATACATATGGATGTATCCTATACACATTTTTGTGTATTTTTTAAATATTGCATTAAATATTATTTACCTTGATTACTGCATTTTATAGCACTCCCTTAAATTTTCCCACTGAGGCCAGTGCCTCACTCTTCTCACCCTAGTCCTGGTCCTTATCATGTAAGTCCTGGCATGTTATTTTGTTGCTTGGAAAACCTTTGTCCCCTGCTCCTTGGCTCTGCTGTTGCTGCCTTCCTCGCCCCCCTCCGTGGTGCTCTCTCAGAGCACTACGCCCCTTTGCTGGTGCTCATGTCATATATAATTAAGTGTCAGATGTGAGAGGCACAGGAGACAGCTAGCTTGAAGCCATCTTTAAAGAAACCCTGCCCAAGAGGGCTTCCTAGCAGAGACAAGAATTCAGACCTTGGCAGAAAGGGGCTTACATGTACCAGTAGAATGAGACTGTGTGTGTGTGTGTGTGTGTGTGTGTGAGAGAGAGAGAGCGAAAGAGAGAGAGAGAGAGAAGCAGAAGAAACACCTTGCCCACAATAAGGGGACTGCAGATGAGATATCCTCTATGATAAGGGGTCTCCAAAGAACCTATAAAATACCTGTAATATAGTTTTTTTTTTAATTTTATTTATTTATTTTTCCCCCCAAAGCCCCAGTAGATAGTTGTATGTCATTGCTGCACATCCTTCTGGTTGCTGTATGTGGGACCCGGCCTCAGGATGGCCAGAGAAGTGGTGCGTCGGTGCGCGACCGGGATCCGAACCCGGGCGGCCAGCAGCGGAGCATGCACACTTAACCACTAAGCCACCGGGCCGGCCCTATAATATAGTTTTGTTTTGTTTCGTTTTAATGCTGTCTTGACCCAGTTTTGAGGTCCTGGCTAGAGGTTGGTCAGTTCCCCTTCTTAGGCAACAGTTAAGTCCACACCCCCAACCACTCCCGTATCAGGCTCTCACACATCAGACAACTATACACCTGCCTTAATTACCCCAGAGCAAGGTACCCAGACAACCAGGGACAGCTCCTCTGCCCTAGAGCCCACTGAAATTATTCAAATTAGCAATCCTAAACCTGCTTGTCCTGCCTTGCCTTTTCCTTCCACAGAAGGAAACCTCAGTTCCCCTGTCTCCCTCTGAACTTGTAGGCCACCCCAGTGTTGACCCTGAGTGACCCTGCATGGCATGCCGTGTTCTGTCCAGGGAACGGTGGGTGTAACAAAATTACGACTTTCTGGTTTCTCACTCTTGATCTATGTCTAGCCTCACCACACCTTACCCAAGGTAATATGGTCAAAACAATACCCCCACAGGAAAGAGCTTGGAATATCCACTAGAAAAATCAGGACAGTATCTGGCAAATAGGACCTTCCTGAGACCTCTCCTCCCTTCCATCCATGCCCCTCCTGCCACTCCCTGGAGAGGTCAGAAATTTCTGTTGGCGATCTTGTGGGTGGAGAGGGGTGGAATATTGTGGTTCAGAGATCCTTTTGGTGTGAAGATAGAGGAGAAGCAGATCACATGCTGTTTTCCTCTTGGAGCATGCTCTCTATTCCTGTAAATGGAATTCTCAGGTTTGACTACTCCACAGACCTGGATATTTTAATTAAAGAAATGAGACTATTGATGGGATTAAATGTCTGGAGGTCTTTCTATTACCTGAAGAGGACCAGAAAACTAGTGGGACCAACCCCAGATTTCACTCAAGGGTTGGGAAAAAACGTGTTTGACAAAGCAAGCTTCAACGGGTAGATGAAGGGAGAGAAGCAAGTTGCTTTTTTACTTCATTCAATCTCTTTCAGTGTAATTGTTACATTATGTATCACATCTCTCCATCCTAGACCCCTCCAGCATGTCCTTGACTCTGGAAAACAAGAGGCTAGGGAATGGACACAGCCTCCTAGACAATGGGACTCTTACAGCCCTATCAGCTGGTCCACTTGAAGTCCTTTTTCACAAGAACTGCTGTTATGGCCAATGCATATTATCTGTGTTTGCCCCGCACCCTTCCCCTTTCTTCTGGGAAGACCTCTCCATTTTGTATTGGGGAATGATTCTGCCCACACTCCAATCTTCTAAGTGTTATTTTTCTCACAGGTCCTTGCTACCTTGATTGGTTCATGGGTAATTACTGGACATAAGCTGGGCCCAAGTTCTCCCCTCGGATTTTGAAAATTAAAAATAGGAAAAAGAGACTTCCACTTCCATCCATTTATATGAAATTCTAGACAAGAGAAAACCTTTTGCTCTACAAATTCTAGGTGCTTCTGCCTCCCTGAACTCTATCAGAGTGACAGAAAGTATCTCAGAGGTTCCCAGGTGCCGGGAATGGGAAAGGGAATTGACTCTAAAAGGGCCAGAGGGAATTTTTGGGTAGTGGAAAAATTCTATATCCTGATTGTGGCGGTAATTACCAACCACAGGCATCTGTCAAAACTCACCAAACTTTACACTTAAAATTAGTGAATTTTATTGTATCTAAATTATATCTCAGTGAAGCTAATTTTAAAAATTAGAAAAAAAATTTTTCATGTGCTATGTGAAGCTCAGTAGTTTTGGGTAATCATGTTTTTTATTGGTCTTTTTTCCTATTGATTGATTTAAAAATTTTGTATATTAAGAAAACAAGCCTGTCAATCCACACTGAAAATGTTTTTTCCCAGTTTCTCACTTTTTTATTTAGACATTGTTCATGGTAATTTTTTTCTTTTCAGAGTGTTCAAAACTTTATATGGTCATATTTATGTATTTTTTGTGGCTTCTGAGGTTTGTATTTTGCTTAGATAGGTTAATTTTACATTAAAATTACATATTAAAGGCGCCAGGCCCTATGGCATAGCGGTTAAGTGCGTGCACTCCGCTGCTGACAGCCCAGGTTCAGATCCTGGGCGCGCACTGATGCACTGCTTGTCCAGCCATGCTGTGGTGGTGTCCTACGTAAAGTGGAGGAAGATAGGCACGGATGTTAGCTCAGGGCTGGTCTTCCTCAGCAAAAAGAGGAGGATTGGCATGGATGTTAGCTCAGGGCTGACTTTCCTCACACACACACACAAAAATTACATATTAAAAATTTTTAATTAAAAAATTTTAAAAAACTCCCCATGTTTTCTGGTTTTAATTTCATACCTTTTATTTTACAGTGTACCTGGAATTTATTTTAGTGTGTGGGTTAGCTGGTTGTCCTAACACTATTTATTGAACAATCTACCATTTCTCCCTTAATTTGAAAGGTCATTGCTATCATATACTGTATTTTTTATTATGCAAGAGTCTATTTCTGGACTCTATTCTGTTCTGTCCATTCACTCATGAGTTACTACTAAACAGTTTTAATTACAATAGCTTTTTGTAGTATGTTTTACTATTAGGCAGGGATAGTCCTTCCACTTCTTTTCAGAATTTTTCTTGTTATTCTTGCCATTTATACTTTCATAAGACTTTAGGGTCATATTATCTCATTTCAAAAACTTCCAGTTATTTTTAATTAGAAGGAGATAAAATTTGTCAATTAATTCAGTGAGAATTGCCATCATTACACTATTTAGTCTTCCTGTCCAAAAGCAAGAATTTCTTTCCATTTATTCAAATTTTCTTTTATTGTCCTTAATGGCATTTAAATTTTTTCTTTAAGTAGATCTTGCACATTTCTTTACATTGCCATTTTAACTAATGCATTATATTCCATTGTGTAAATATATCATAATTCATTTAATCAATCTCCTATCATTGGACATATAGATGGTTTCTAATTTTTACTGATTAAAAATAACCTAGCAGGGCCAGCCTGGTGGCACAAGCGGTTAAGTGCACGCGCTCCGCTACGGCGGCCCGGGGTTCGCTGGTTCGGTTCACCGGCGTGTACCGACGCACCACTTGTCAAGCCATGCTGTGGCGGCGTCCCATATAAAGTGGAGGAAGATGGGCATGGATGTTAGCCCAAGGCCAGTCTTCCTCAGCAAAAAGAAGAGGATTGGCAGATGTTAGCTCAGGGCTGATCTTCCTTACACACACGCACACAAAATAACCTAGCAATGAACACATTGCTACATATTTTAATATGCCCATGATGATTTTGTTAGGATAAATTCCCAGAAATTGAATTTTATGGCTTTTGATGCATAATGCTAAATT